TGCACCAGTATCATTTATACGTTAGTTTTCAGTGTTCGGATTCGTTTGGTATCCCACATCCAAAGTGGGGTTCTCGTTTTCTCTGGACACCCCGCGCAGGAGCAGGCTGAAAGGAACACCCCCTCTCTTCTCACCACACGCACACACTCACATCATCATCGCAGCATCAACATCACTTACACTCACTCACACCACTCGACAACTCTCATTCACTCTCTCACACTCACTCACAACTACGCCTCATCATCATCATCATCATCATCATCATCATCATCATCATCATCATCATCATCATCATCATCCTGATCGCAACACCACCGTCACCATCGTCATTATCGCACACACTCACTCATACACCCACACAGTCAGCTTGAGGAGGTTTTAGGCCGGAGCCTCGTTTGTAAGTGAACTCCATCACTATTTCCCATCACCGTCGTCACCATAATCACGCCTCACCATCGTCGCCATCACCATCGTCACCATCACCTATCAGTCTCGTCCTCATTACCAGAGGAAGTCTCATGCGGGAGCCCCCTCCCTATGGGGCCCGTAACTCATTTTTTAATCCGAGCAGGTCATCGGACAACTTGTAACTGTCGTCACTTTTGGGCCATTGAGGCTTGAATATGGAGGACGTATCAGGTGGGAGCCTCGGAAGTCTCAGGTTGAAACGTCCTTTTGTGGGGCCCGCAATTCATGTTTTTGATTTGAGCGGGTCATCGGCAAAGTTGAAACATTTATCACTTCTGGGTCCCTGGGGCTTGAATGTGGAGGAAGTATCAGGCGGGAGCTTCGTCTGTGAGTGAACGCCAGGAAGTCTTAGGCGGGAGCCTCTTTTTGCGGGGCCCGTAGTTAAGGTTTTTAATCCGATCGGGTCACCGGAAAATGTGTAACTGTCGTCACTTTTGGGCCCCTGAGGCTTGAATATGGGGGAAGTATCAGGCGGGAACTCCGTCTGTGAGTGAATTTCGAGGAGGTCTCAGGCAGGAGCCTCCGCCCCACGGGGCCCGCAGTTCATGTTCGAATCCGAGGCGGGTCATATGCAGACCTGCAGCTGTCGTCACTTTTGGCCTCCTGAGGTTTGTATCAGGCGGGCGCCCCCTCCATATGGGGCCCGCAGCTCATACATCCGGGACATCACCGTCGATTGCGCGAGGGACGAGGACGTTGGTCGCACGGGCATGTCGGACGACCAGTGGCATCTATGTCATGTTCCCCCGCGCCACGTGCATGCGGAACATGCTGATCGTGCGGCCGCCGCCGCGAGAGTTCCTGGAGCGAGGGCTGCCGGCATACTTGCGGAAGGTGCTCCTGGAGTTCGACATCAGAGCGAAGAGCTCCATGGCAGAGGTGGAGCAGCTCGCGGCAGAGCTGGGCTTCGCGCTGACCCCCGCCTGAGCGCGGCGGCGTTCCGCTCGAAACCCGCGGGGTTGTCCCAACAGTTTTGTTTCGCGCGCAAGCGGCTCGCGGGGTGGCCCCGACGGCCTGGCCCGCGGGGTTGTCCCAACGGCTGCGGCGCAATGTGGCAATTTTGAGATTGCGCCCGTGCCGGCGGAGGCAGCGACGGCGCCGAAGAAAATCGACATGCGCATTCATGCAAGAGGAAGGGGAGGAGATGGCGGGGCGTGAAAAACAGGAGGTCGAGGAGGGGACAACGTAGGGAGCGGGAGGAGAGACTGCGCCAGGGCGAGGAGGCGAATGACGCAGAGGAGATAGTAACGATGCCTCAGCAATCACGAGGACGACGGCGAGGGCCATTTTCAGTGTAGCCCAGAGGATTCTCAGGTGCGGTCCTACCGCTGGGGTAATTCTAGGTCTAAGCAAACGCACACGCATTTTAAATTTCGCTGTGTTCGGTATGATGATGATGCAAGTTGGGATGAGTGTTGTAGGGGCGATGGTGATGATGCTGATAATAGTAATGGTGATGCTGTTTGTGATGTTGCTGTTGATGACGATGTTGGCGCTGATAACGGCAACGTGGACAATGATGATATTGCGGGCGATGGTTATGATGATGACGTCGGTGGTGATGATCGTGTCGTTGATGATGATGGTGATGCCGATGATGATGACGAGGATGATGGCCATGATGGTGATGACGATAATGTTTGTTATGTCGATGCTGATGATGATGCTACGTGTGATGTTGATGGTGATGATGATGCGGGTGGTGATGGCAATGATGATGGCGATGACGGCGGCGATGCTGCGGATGATTCTGATGATGTGGATGCTGGTTTTGATGTTGATGGTGATGATGCGCATGAGGAACTTTATGACAATTCCAGTGCTGACGATTATGACGGTGATGTGGATGATGATGATGGTGATGATGCGCTACATGATGATGAGGATAATGGTTATGATCGTGGTGATGATGAGGATGATGATGGTGATGACGCTGCTGTTACTGCTACGGCTGATGATGAAATTCGGTTGTGCCGTATTGGGGCTGTCTTGGCCTCCTTTGAGCCAGTCGTGGGGGTCCTTTGAGGCCCCCTTGGACCGTCTCGGGGCCCTCTTACGCCGGCTCCGGGTTCTCTCGGGCCGTCTTGGGGCCCCCTTGACCGTGTGGTGAGTGTGTGGGAGCCGTTGTGGGGCCGTACTGGGCCGTCGAATTGCCTTGTAAGGCCGATTCGGGTCCCACGGGAGGTCTTCTTGGGCCGTCTTGGGTCCGTGTTGGATGCCTCTTGGGCCATCATGGAGTCCTCTTGGGCCGTCGTGAGCTGACAGCAGCCCGACAGGGCGAGAGCGCGAAAATCAATCAAAAAAGACGGGAAATCAAGGACTGTGGCTTTTCAGGAGCCTGGTGTAGGTCGTCGTGTGGCCCTCACAGGCCTTTTTGCAAGCATTTCGGGGCATGTTAAAGCAATACTCGGCAGCCTTGGGGCCATGTTGGGCCGCCTTCGAGGCATTTTGGGCCGTCTTGGTGTCCTCGATTGCCCGCATGGGCCGTCTTGGAAGCTCGGGACGCGTATCCATTGTTTTCAACAAGTGATGGTGGCTTGGGAGGCGTTTGAGCGCTTGAGAGTCGCGCCTGGGAATGGGGGAAGTGAACAATCCTCGAGCGTGTGCCGTGGCGGAAAGTGCGCAATCCTCGAGCGGGTGCGCAGGAAATGCCGATTCAGGAATTGTTGTCGCTTCGCGAATCCCCACCAGCCCATCCAGAAACGATGCCCAGAGGAATTGCCTCGATCAGAGACGTGGGCAGCACACAGAGGAAGCCATTATGAGACATCTTGGGATATCTTGAGCCATCTTGGAGGTCATTTTGGGCTCTCCCAGACGCTCTTGGAGTCATCTTAATCCGTGCCCCCCCCCAAGAGGCCTCCATGTGGCTAAAACCTGTGTAGAATCAATGATTAGGCATTCTCGCCGAGGCCTCTTGGAGCATCTTGGGTGCATCTGGGGGGGCTCTTGGGGCCTCTTGGGGGTCTCTTGGGGGCCTCCGGGGGGCCTCTTGGGGGCCTCTTGGGGCCATTTTGGGGCCATCTTGGGACCTCTTGGGGCTTCCTGGGCGCTTCTTGGGGCCATCTTGGAGGAGATCGATCAAACAAGAGGGGGGGTTTAATTAGCGTCCCCCCTCGGAAGCCCCTAAAATCGCCTCTTGGACCCCTCTTGGAACGCTCTTGGAGTGCTCTTGGGCGCTCTTGGGGCCGTCTTGGGGCTCTTTTGGGGCTCTCTTGGGGCCCTCTTGGGCCATCTTGGAACCATCTCCAGGCCTCGGATGGCCATCGGAAGCGAAAAGGCGAGAAAGCAAAAATCATTGATTTTCCTTAGGTTTTGGGACGATTTTGGCCTCTTCGGGGCCTCCTTGGGGAGCTGTTTGGCCACTTGGAGTTATCTTGGGGCCGTCTTTGGGCTTCTTGGAACCATCTTAGGAGCCATCTCGAGCGATCTTGCGCTATCTTGAGCCATCTTGGAGCTCATCTTGGGTTCTCTGAGGCGCTCTTGGAGCCGTCTTGGGCCATCTGGGACGCTCTAACTACCCGCGGCCCCCCCCGTCCAGGTCCAGGGGAGGGGGTAGGGGGAGGGGTAAACCCCTCCCCAAGGGGGAAGAGGGAGGGGTGGAAGAGGATCTGCTCTAGACCACCTACGCCCAGAGGGCTGGTGGGATTAGCTGCCATTTGGAAAGTGCACCAGTCTCGAGTGAGCACGCGTAGAAGGGGGCTTCAGGCTACCATGCGGGGGGTGCGACGTCCTCGAGCGGGCCCGCGTGGAATGGTGGGTCGGGCACGAGCCACCATGCGAGAAGTGCACCATCCTCGAGCGGGCACGCGTGGAAGGGGTCTCTGGCATTAGCTGCCATGCGGAAGTGCACCATCCTCGAGCGGCCACTAGGAAAGTGGCCTCGGGGAGTGGGTGAGGATGCACGCGACAGGCTGTGGGTAAGGGGCGGGGCTCCCTTACCATAACTCAAAAGCCCTACCAGGCAGACCTTTGCATTCTTTCACGCCTCAAGGTACACAGGGCACGGGTGGCGGATAGTTCTCTCTCAGGATGGGGGTGGGAAGCCAGCACGGGCAGCAACGTGAGCACGAGCAGCTGTAGTCGCAGCAGTTCGCCCCGCATTGGCCAGAGCCCCGGAAGGGGGACATGCGGTCAGGATGCTGAAGTGGGGAGCAGTTCGGGGTCGGAAAGGACTCGCTGCTGCCCAGGTCCTGCCGTGGTTGTTCCTCTATCGTTTCTCGTGTACCTAAAGCACGAACAATAGTTGCCGACATAATGTTGCTTTGCGCCCCTTGGGAGCAGGCGTCATGGAAAAATGTAGCACCGTCAAAAATCACGTCCCGAACCTTGGACCCAATCTTCCTGATGCATTTTTTTGAGCCGGATCGATATGTGAGTGTCCCGATGCCCAGATCTGGGGGAATACGCCCTGCGCGAATCAGTTGAGACACCAGGGTCTCAGGGTCGCCTGGATCTGAGGGACTTCCTGCCCGCAGCACTCGATTAAGATAAAAAACATGTTTTCCAGTTGGGGGTCTTGTCTTGTTCTGGGCCTTGTCTGGACTTGCAAGATCGAGCTTTGCTTCTCCAGTTTGGGCTTTTTGCCCGTTCTGCGATGGTCGTCTCGCTGTCTTGTGTGTGCAGGCTGCCGTGCTTTGTCCGCTTTAAGCTGCCGTTGTCGGTTCGGCCAGGGACCGAACCACTTCAAACGGCGTCCACAGCCTTTTCAGAATCCACCGAGCCCGCAGCCTTCCAGCCGCAGCCTTCCGGCCTGCTCGGGAGGACGCAGCCCTCCGCTCGGGGACGGCGCACGCGCCTCCCCCCCGTGGGCCAGCGCCTCGCGGCCGAGACGCCCCGTGGCTCCCCGCCGCGTCTGCCCGGGCGGCGGCTTCCCGCGCTGGGGCCTCCAG